ATATTTTTTCTTCAGATTCATCTTAAACCTTGTTTAACTAAGTTTCCATCTCTTTCCAATTCCAGCAACTAGAAAGAGATACAAAATGAAGTTAAACCGGGGCCAAAGTATTCAAAGTTAGGCCCGGTTTTACCAACGTCGTTTAACTTTAAGCTTAGCTTAATAGAGGAAATATTAGAACAGAAGATATCGGTATCACAAGAAATGTGAATCGTGCGGTCATGCAAGCCAAAGTATTTACATTTTTGCTTACAAATTTAAACAACGAGGTCCTAATTTCCATTGCAACTCGCGTATTCCTTCGAATCTCGCGAGGAGACTCATGGCTCGCTTAGAGACACATTCGGTAATCTCTCCAACAACTTTCATTTCGCTCCTCGTCGACTTCACGATACTTTTAGCGAAACACTTTCACCGGGCAGCTCAGGTACAATCGGAAAGTCGCTGAAAGCAAAGTAACCCGTTGTCTCTCCACAATTTCCATTTTATCCGTCCACCTGTGTCTTCAGCGCTTTACAGCGCGCGGTCTTGCACTCTTCAGTCAACCTCCGTTTCTTCTCGCGCAGGTAATATAATGAAATTCATCGCTGACGACGGCAGCACGATATACAAGCTGACCGATTTCGGGGCCGCTCGGGAGTTGCAGGAGGACCAGCAGTTCGTGTCGCTTTACGGCACCGAGGAGTACCTGCACCCGGACATGTACGAGCGCGCGGTGCTCAGGAAGCCCGTCGGCAAGACGTTCGGCGCGACCGTCGACCTGTGGTCCATCGGCGTGACCCTCTACCACGTGGCGACCGGCAATCTGCCGTTCCGGCCGTTCGGCGGGCGCAGGAACAAGGAGACCATGTTCTACATCACGACGAAGAAGGCGTCGGGCGTGATATCCGGGCTGCAGACCTCGGAGAACGGGCCGATCGAGTGGAGCAGGGAGCTGCCGCAGGCCTGCCAGCTGAGCGTGGGCCTCAAGAAGATAGTGACGCCGCTGCTCGCCGGCTTGCTCGAGGTGGACCCGCAGAGAATCTGGAGCTTCGAGCGTTTCTTCAGCGAGGTCACGGACACGCTCTGCCGGAAGCCCGTTCACATATTCAACATCCACCGGGCGAGTCTGATCAAGGTCTTCCTGCATCCGGACGAGAAGCTGGTCGCCCTGCAGATACACATTCAGGATCAGACGGATATCATGCCGCACGCGCAGATTCTCCTCCTCGGCGAGGTGCCCCTCGCGAGCCTCGTCGAGGAGTCCACGCCGGGCAAGGGGTATCCCAATACCAGCCGCGACAAGCCGCTGATGCTGTTCTCGCGCGAGAATAACAACGTCGTGCTGCCGACGGAGACCGAGCTGCCCAAATTCCCCGTCTTTGCGAATCTCGTTTCCGTGGAGAACGACGCGAGCCAAGCCAAAGTCGCGTGCTCCGTGGGACACGTCTGTAAACGTAGAATCGACAAGCTGGCCCTGTGCAGCAAGCTGTCGCGGGACGCCATAGACGCGTTCAGCGCACTCCTGTCCACGGAGCTCGCGCGGGTGCTGGCCAAGTGTCAGCACTCGAGGGAGTTCACCAAGGCGGTGGAGGACACCGTCCTGGCGGTGGAGAGGAGCGAGACCTTCGCCAAGCACGTGTTCCGAAAGTTCGGCGGTCAAGCCGCGGCGGAGGTCAAAAGCTGGCGGAAAGAATTGGACGTGAAGAGCAAGGAACTTACGAGTGAACTGACTCCAGCGATCGTGCAGCTTCACCAGAGGTAAATCGTCTGGAGAGACGCGAAGCGTCCAACTGCTGCGTTTGTGAAAACTCACCGCGTGAAAAAGGATAACTTTGTTACTTTCAATTTCATTGCAGTAAATTATCTGGCAAGACGCGAATGTGATTACTGCATTTATGAAAATTCACCGAATGAAAAAGGATTTATTGTTACATTTATATTCATGGGGGGTCAATCCTGTATCTTACAATACAGTGAAAATGCTGAAAGTGACCGACTTTCTCTCAAGCATTTCACACTATGGTGTAAGATACAGAATTGACCCCATGACAGGAATCGGTTCACCACACTTACGAGCGTTCAATTCTCACGTGTAATCAGTTTAAAGAAATGTAATCAGTGTAACTGTTGTTGCAGATATGTAAAGGAGGGCAACTTGCGGGGAGAATGGGAAAACAGTACTCGCGGCTTGTGGTGCCCGTGGGCCACGAAGGCGAGCCAACGGGCAGCGACCTTGGTCGACCGCCTGAGGGATGGGTGGCAACATTTGCTGAGGGACAGGGCCACTCGTAGTCTCACTTACAACGATGAACAATTCCACGTTCTTGAACGCATAAAGGTATACCATTTTACGTGTCAAGTTTCCCAATTCGTTACTGTAAAGCAGGCGATCGGAGAGCTCGCGGCAATTATTTCTCGCGAAATTCACTGAAGCGATCTTCTTCGTTAAACAGGTGACGGAAACGGGACGTCGGTTGAAGGCGCTTCTCGAAACGGAGTGTATGCCGGCGATGACGCAGCGGTCCGAGTGCGTCGCCGATTGGTACAAAATGGCGCAAACGGTGTTCCTGCAGACTCAGATACTGGACAAGGACGTAGACGGTTACGAGCGCGTGCTGGAGTCGTTCTCCTATCGCTTGTCGCAGGAGAGCAAGGAGCGCAACGAGAGTCTCTTGCACTCGTTGGACAGGCTCCCCGGCAAACTGAAGACGGTCGAGAAGACGAGCGTGCCGGTGCAGGAGAGCACGAAGAAGTGGCGCAACATCTGCGACACGCAAGAACAAATCGCGATGCTTCTTTGTGAAAACGGCGAACTTGTAGACCAACTCGATCATGTGGTAATGATCGAGAGGATGGAGGACATGGCTGATGGCGGATATGATTTTTAACACCCGCCACTTCTTCAGTCCGACAATCATGAGATAAAGACTGAGACTCACAATGTATATACTAGAAGCTCGATATATCTGCATTGTTAGTGTATAGTGTTAAATGTTAAAAAAAGGAATACAATATTCACAATTTTTTTACTCAGTACCATGGGCGTGCGCACTTTTTTTATTTGGCGGTGTCGACAGTGATCCCAGATTGCGGGATCTCTGGCGCACGCGCAGTAGCGCAAGCTTGAGCAGCAGCTCAGTAGCGTATACGTTCTTAACTTGAGGGTTTAGATAGAACCCTTACAAGAAGAGTATAGGAAATATTGTACAAAGTTTTTTATCAATTAAATAAATGTTTAATAAACTGCTCTATATAATATATAAATCATTAATATGAGTTTTAATAAAACATCGATGTAAAATTGAATAGTAAAGAACACTGGTTCCTAGAAACCCCCCACGTTGCCTGTATGTACGAGTCTTTCATGGTAGTCACGTGATCACTATGCGCATGGCAGAAAGGCTTGCACGTGCGCCAGAAATCCGCAATCTGGGATCACTGGGGCTCGAGGGGATTTCAAATTTCCGACGAGTCCAACGATTGCGTTTCAATAAATAATAATTATATAACAAAGCTAAACACAGGTTTCACATAATTACACACAATTATGCGGTAAAAAATTAGCAAACCAGGCGTATCTCTTTCTCGCGTTGCAAAATCCGCGCGTGATTCACGCGTCTACGTGACTAGCATTCCTCTCGACCAAGGAATTCAGTCTATGCTTGCGCTTCTGCTCCCTGTGGTGCTCCTGCACCGCGTGGAAATGTTTCAACAGTTTATCGAAGTCGAACGGGCAAGCGGCGTTTGTTTTCTCCTGCGAGTGGTCGCTCTTCGGTATCGGCCTCGTGGCTGGCGGTATCGCCGCTAAACGACGCTGCAAGGTAGCGTAGGCGTCACTCTGCGGCAGGATCATGAGCAAGCCGTACAACGCGTATATCAAAGCATCGTTCTTCTCCCATTCCAACAGTTGCAGTCTCAGATCTTGATTAAAAAAAAAAAGAAGGGATGTAACGCATTTCTTAATACTCTTATTGGCAACGCGATACCGTGTACTTACAGGTAAATATCGGCGATTCTATTAACTGTACCAATTTATCTATCTCCGTGAGGAACTCCACCGTGACCTCTATGTTTTCGCTGATATGTACAGACGTTAAGGTCTTGAGAACTTGAATTGAGTCATGCTCAGTCAGCTCTCAAGTCAAGTTCGTGTGTTGCAAACTTCGACAAATAATTTTTACAGCATTATGAGATTATAATGATAAGTCTTTCTACATCACCAAAATACACGCGAGTCTATGTACACGACTGTCTCAGATCGCTTGAAAAGGACCGAAACCCATGGTCGAAACGTCGCGATGCTTTAACATAAAAATCGCCAGATACGGTCAACTAAATTTGACATTGTTAATTATTGCCGGCGACCCTGAAGATTTTCCTGTGCGCTGAATTGACATGATGGATAAAGTGAGAGAGAGCAGAACAAAGGATACAAAGATCGAATGATGTTGCAGGCGTGTCGGTAATGCTGAGACAGGAGACACAGGGCCACCGTCGCGACCGGATTGTGGCACCAGGACACGTACAGGCACTCGAATAGCGCGCAACTGTCCTAAAAAAAAAATACAGTCATGAGTATTCATCACGTTCCGTTGATTTTTCTAACAGATCCGACGTACTACGATCACTCGATAAAGCTGAATATACACGAGACTTACTGGAGAGTCCAAGTGCCGAAGTTTGTTGCGCAAGTCAAACAACTCGGAACTGGTTAGCAGGATAACGTTCAGGGTTTGTATCATCGTGCAGGCGAAGCTTAAATTTTGCTCCTCCAGCAGTATCTTCGCCAGGGTCTTGTATATATCTTCCGCGCTCAAGAGCACGCACAGCTCTCTTATGATGAAGGCGCCCCGTTCCTTCAGCAAGTGTCGGTCGGTCGAGAAGAGCCTCAACAGATTGATAATAAACTTGGTGAAATACTTGTTCTGCATCTTCGCGTTGGGATCGGTCGCCACCGCTTCCGGGGACTTGGAGCTGATGATCTCGGCCATCACCACTAGAGTCTGTTGCACCACCTCGTCGGAGGTGTCGCTCAAGGATTTCATTAGTATCGGGAACAAGTCCTCGATGTGATTGAACATCTTCTGCGGAATGTTTATGAACAAGTGGTGTATCCATTTCAGGACCGCGACCTTGGTTTGGACCGACAGGTACAGCAAGTGCTTCGTAAGTACCTCCACTACGCTGGCGAGATCCAAGTTTTCATCCAGGGAATCTTGCGTTACGTCTGAAGAGAGGAAAGGAAATTCTGTTATCAATGTGTAACGGGCTTCTAAACATCTTTTCTCTTAAAATCTACCTGACAATCATGTAACCGTAGAACAACATAACATTTTGAAGAATCTTGCGAGTTTTTTGAAATTTTACTGTACATTTTACCCGTAAAATGTATGACAAAATTTCAAGAATTTTATGCAAGCTTTTTCGAAATTTACTATACATTTGACCATACATTTTAGTCAAAGATTACAAGATTTTCAGGATACGTTTGAAAAGAAAATCCTCTCCGTCTGATCCAATGATCCTCCCGGCGATTCAAAGTGTTAAAATGCCGATCGATTAATCGCCAATGCAACCGAATTGCCGCTCACCGTCCTTCGTAGACTGCGGCTTACTCTCGCGATCCTTGCTCGCGGCCTCTGTGCTCTTGACGATGATCAGTTTCATTAAATTCGCGTTCACCTGCGTGGCCGTCTCCTTAATACTCTTACGCGTGTCGCCGTCGTAGGCCAGGCACGGCAGAACGGCCACGAGGATGCCGGACATGTACGGGAGCATGAGCGGCCCGGAGAGGTGCACGAACTCCTTGATCCACGTGATGGCGGTCAGCTGGAGCAGCTCGTCGTTGTTCTGAGCGTGCGTGATCAGTATGTTTATCATGGCCGGGAAGTCCACCCTCGCGGGATTCGCCTTTATGCTGCGCAAAAATTCACCGAGGACCGTGTCCGTGACCTTCTTGATCTCCGGCGTCTGGTCGTCCAGTATCCTGAACAGCCCGTCGAGTATCTCGGGCAGAAATATTATAAAGTCCATGTTGGGCACCGCGTCCAGCACGGACACCCACGATATCACGAACTGTCTGCCGAACGAGTTCTTCGTGTAGATGCGCTCGCGCAGCAGAGGCATGAATCCGACCAGGTCGAAGAGGCCGCTCTCCGTCACAATGTCCTGAAACAATGTGCCAAGTTGTGAAAAGAGTCGTCTCCGTGACCCGGTTGTCCCAGCGTCACAGAATTCCAACTTTCGTGTTCGCAGGCTACCTTCATCAGTCTGTCGAGTAGCTCGGTGGCGTTCTTTATATTCTGCTCCGAGTCGCAGGCCAGTTTGCTGAGAGCGGCGAAGATGTCCGTGAACTGAGGCAGCACCGCGCCCCTCGCCACCTTGACCACGTTGTACAGGCTCTCGCAGGCGTAGTACCTGACTCTCAGATCGGCGTCGCAGAAGCACGCGAGGATCGGATGGATCAGGTCCTCTATGTACTGGCCGGTGTCCTTGCCGAGGCCGACCGCGATCGCCGCCAGGCCTATCAGTCCGCCCTTGCGCGTATGCGGGTTCTGCGAGGTGGCGAAGTCCTGCCCGAGGACCTTGAGCAGCCTCTTGATCTGCACGGTGTTGTTGTGGGCGGCGAACTCCTTCACCATCCTGCGGGATCGACGAGAAAATGAAACCCCGATCAGTCGTTAAACGGGAAGAGGAACGACGAGTCAAGGGAGCACTTAACTCCCTCGAGGACCGTCGAGCCGCGACAAACTCGGGAGATCGAGGAGAATCTGGGGAAAAGAGGTGGAGGTCCGTGACACGCGACAGTACACAGTGCGGATAACCTCACTTTTCTATTTCCACGGCGGCTGGCTTCCGCTTCTCGTACAGCTTGTCGTTGAGAGACCGCACGCATGCTGCGCTCAGGGGCGCGTAATCCCTCTCGGACATCATCCTGCGTGAGATATCACGTGCGACTGGACAACGTCAGAGCGCGTCAAAACACATAACCGCGAGTCGGGCGTGCGCGGGCACGAACAAGTGGCAGCGTAATCGGGGACGTTCGGCGGTCGTCGTGCCGTCGTCGGCGAGCAAGCGCGAACGAGCGGGCTGTTCGAACTCGATCTCCCCGGCCTCGGAGACTCGCGGGGGATTTGTAGTCTGATATCATATCCAAGGCCGTCTGGAATTTATCTAAAGATGCCGTGCGGAACATTTCACTGGCTACGGATAGTATCTGAAGATGATCTCGAGACAGTCTTGAATATAAGATCTGACTATGAACACTGGGCCTCAATCGCGAGTCTTTTTCTCAAACGTGAAAAGTGAACGTTTTCATTGACAAATATTGAATTCGTTAATGAAAATTTTCGCTTTTCACGAGTTCACGCTAGAGAAAAATAATCGGGCCACAGGTCCGATTTCACTTACTTATAGCTAATTAATCCATTCTTCGTCTCTTTCCAACTGTTACGTGTTACGTCACATTGTTACATTAGAACTTTCGGTTTTTCGTTTAAGTTTCAAAACCGAAACTTGCATAAAGTCGAGGTACGACTTTTGCGGATTGTCAATTGGAAAGAGAAAAAAAATGCCGCGGCCGTTCTAAAGTTTCTAGATAAAGAAGTCGTTCGAAGTAACGTTGCATCTATCGAACAGAACGTTGACGTTCTTTATGTACATCCCATCCTTTATTACGTGTTACAAATTACTTTTACAGGCTTCGTAAAAGTCTACATGTCCATCAGCAAACACGTTGTCAATGTCAACGGTATTAACGTATTCCTCGAGTTTCGGGCTCATGCTGTAATTAATCGGTGCTCTTTTAACGGCAATCTTCTTTGGAACAGGCACAGCAGGCCTGAACGCTACACCCGCAGGATCATACTCCGCGTAGAGCTCATCTGGCGATCTAAAATTAATTAAGACGAACGTTATAAAATTCCACACACAACTGTCTATACAGGGTGTCTCATTTTAAATGATCCACGCAAATATCTCCAAAAGATACGGAAAAACGTTTCAAACAAAAGTTGTTTGGTTCGAAGGGGGACATAGGGTGGTGGCATTGACTTTGACCTCGGATAGTCATTTGAAGGCCACGTGAAGGTCACCTTCAATTTTTTTTCAATAGTGTTTCAATTAGTGAAAATTTTTGTGTATGTAAATTTTGTGTTACAATACACAAAAAAAATGTTCAATAATTGAAACACTATTGCAACAGCACATTCCTGAGACTAAATCAAGTAAAAAAAGTCCTGTGCTACTTTTTCCTCCGACAAACAGTTATCGAGATATCATAAGCTAAACATAGAAGAAGCTATAAATTTTCTCTTGAATGTCTCAAAAGGTATTAGGCAAATCAAAAAATGTTTCGGACAAAAGTTGTTCATATTAATTAGTAGAATAAAATAGTATAAGAAACAATAATCCATTAAAAAAATAAAAAAATTGAAGGCTACCTTAGCAGTTATTTGAAATTTTACTACACATTTTGCTAGTAATTGTACTTACAATTGACTAGTAAAATGTATGATAAAATTTCACAGAACTCATAGTTTTTCGAAGAGCCACGTTGTCACACGATTACACGATTTTCAGGGTTTTGAAAAGAAAATTCCGCGTACTGACTGCGTATGATAAAAAGACACACCCGGCAATAATTTGTTGTAACTGTTCAGCGAAGTCGGTACTTACAGCTTCGCGATTTCAGTGGTCAAGCTGCCCTCACCGCTCGTAGGTGTGGTGTACGCTATATTTTTAGCGAGTTGCCGCACTACGCTGTGATAGTGACGCTGTAAGAACAACGATCATGTCATCCGTCGTACGATCATTACGAAGAACCGTATCGCGTTTAAGATAATACCTGCAAAGCAACGAGCTCGTACAACGCGGTGCAGTGAGCGTTGCAATAATCGGGCTCCTCGATCTCGACCTGGTAATGACCGTCGCCGGCGCAGTCGGTGTCCAGTAAAACATGAGCCGCTTTCCCGAGCTGCATCACCTGCTTCACGATACCGAGGGTACCCAGCGTCGCGTTGTGCTGCGACTGCAGGGCCAGGGTGGTGATCCTCTTCACGAAGGCTATCATACGCGTCTGCGTGATCCTCCTGCGCTGATGAATGAGAATCTGCAGCAACGTCTGCAGCACGGTCTCCGTCTCCGAGTGCGTCCTCCCGCAGTGGACTTTCAATATGTTTTTGTACAAATGCACGTAAAATCTATAAAAAGGGAATACAATTTCTCTCGTACATTTGTGAGATATGCAGCATGTAAATCCATCGTATCGAACGCACTATGAAGCGCACGAGATGGGAAATTATTATATACAAACTTGTACGGATCGATATTCAACGCTGCAGCCTGCCCGGATAATATTGTAAATATACACTGAACGCAGTGCAGTTGTTCTCTCAGTCCCAAATTACCTTCCTCTATTAATTTATCTATGGCGCTTACTAAATCTTGGTAGAAATCTATATTGATGCAGTGCGCAAATCTGAAATGCACAAATACGACATTCGAGTAAAATGTAAATGGCAAGTGTATAAAGATACACGTGGCGATGTGTAAATTGCATTACTTGGCCAATCCCTCCAGACACACGGATAACACTTTACTATTGGGAGCTTGCTTCAGAATTCGGAAATATATAGTAAAAACTATGCTCATTATTTCCGTGAGAGTCTTATGTTTCGCCTGTTTATTTTCCTCGGCCTTCGTCTCGAGCATTTCCTTCTCCACTTGCTCCAGCTTCTTGCTCTTCTTCCTCTCCCGTCTGCTCAACGCGAGTACCCTCTGCTTATGGGACATGAGCTTCTTCTGCTTCGTCTCGTCCTCCTTTTCCTTGTCCAGATTGACGTCTTTGATGCGCAGAGCCAGCAACACTGCTATTACCTCAGAACGTACAGAGTGTTTCCTCGACTTGATATACTGATTCAATTTTCGAACTATCTGAAATGTTATTAGTGCGATAAACAATTACGAGCGTATCGAAGTGCAAGGTATATAAGGGAAATCACATTTCCGTTGCAGCTCACCGTGAGAGACAGCTGGCCACGTTTGTCCTCTTTGAATATTTGAGAGAAACATCGCGCGACTCTTTCTCTCACGCTGTTCCGCTTGTTATCCAACAAGGGAAGGATGTAATTGGCTATATTAGCGGCGAAGTTAAAGTACGGATGAATGACGAGAAGCTCGCACATGCACGACACAGCCGTCTCGCCCAGTTGCATCCCTCGCTCGTTCACCGACTGCGTGTTCCCTTTCTTTCGCCGCAAAACCTTCGATATCTTCTCGAGCTTCTGCAGATAGCTTTTGTAACTCCTCAACAAGGTAGCTTCATAATTCTGCAGCGCGAGAGTCTCTTTCTTCACTGAAGTCACAAATAAAATTGATTACACTCCAACAATGTCAATACGCAATTTGTTTTTGTAAGTTTTACAAATGTCACACGCACATTTTACCCCGTCCGGCGAAACCTGCAGAATACTGTACGATGGTAGCAAATCCTTGAAGATCTCTAAAAGAGACACCATCGCCAGTTTCCTGATCGTTATGTAAACTTCCGAAGCTCTCTCGTCCATCATGTCCAGCAGTACCTTGAAATTTCCGGATTTGAGTTCCGGGTTTTCTAATATGCCGCTCGAAAGTATGCCTATCTTGAAACGCTTGGATCTCAGTATTTCCTCGCGACACGCGACAAGCTCGACGGTAGACACTGGTTTGCCAGTAACTTGCAAGTCGTTCTGAAAGTTTCCAATGCACATACGTCAGACAATACGCTCTACATTAGATTTCTGGAAATATCGGGATTGCGTAATTTCAGTCTCACATGCGTGTCCATTTCCGTGTCGCTATTTCCCTCTTTATCTTCCTCCTCGCTCTCTTCCCGGCTCTTGTTACCTTCGTCCCCATGTTCGTTCGAAGTCTCGCCGTCTTCCTCGATGACACGCTTCTCTATAAAACCGTTTTGCGTTTTTATGGGAAGCAACATGCGAACTGACTTCCCCCCGGTCTCTTCCACAATTTTTGTGACATTATTCTCGTACAGTTCCTCCAGCGGTTGACTACTTTCAACCTTTTGCTTTTTTCTCTCGCTCGGGCCTTCGTCTGTTCTGAAAACGAGAACGATGAATATATATATACACCATTTACAGAGGATCCTATTAAGGTTTACAAAGTGTGCCGCACTTGTTCAATCGAATCTGTTTGAATAAGTTGTAGGACTTGTTGGATATGGCATTATTTAGGAAATTTAAGTCATCCTCGTCAATCATATCCATCACATCGCTTCCATGATCGCTCTCTTCTTCCTCCTCTGCTTTTTCCGGACGCGGTGGCGCTGATTTCTGAGCTTGTTTCTTTGGTTTGTGCCGTCGAGTCTTAAGCTTCCCTTGCTTCGAAAGCTTCGTCTTCGTCTGGTTGTTTCTCTTGACTTTACTGATTTTTGGCTTTCTTAATTTCTACAGGATAAAGTGCATACAATTATTTTAAACAGAGACTCTTGAATCTCCGATTAAATTTAGATAAAATTTATTATTAATAATATGTTACCTTACACACCAAATTTTAATGGGATTAAAATAAAAGCTTATTAAAAACATGCTCCTTCCACTTTAGCCATTGAACGATAAATAAATAATTTTGAATTGAATTATGCATAAAAATTGCAAAACGTTTCTGTATACGCATAGCAATTTAAATTCAACACTAATTTAATTCTCGTGAGTTTTAAGAGGTTAGGCACGAATTGCCCATTAAATTAACACATATTCAATATCTCTTAACTCACCCCCATCTTTAAACCGTAGAACTCCGCTAAACGACTGTTTTCAACTTAAATTTTATTTCATAGACTAACATATTCTAAACAAAATTGAGTATCGCAAAGTCCGCACGCCGAACCGGATAATCGCAAATGCATCCACGTGCGTTCTCGACAGAAAGTGATTGTTTAGATATCGACGGTCGATAAAGGAAGTGATCCTCTTGATGCAGTGGATACTTCAAAGCACATTTTCTCTTCCTTCATTTTAATAAAGAAAGAAGGAGAATAACACGCTTCGGAGCATCCGTTATAGCATCGGTTTTTTTTAGTCAAATAGAATATCGAGAAACCTTCGAAAATCGAAAATATATAATTATAGATATATTGTTACATGAGTTACATCACTTTCTTTTTTATCTCGAACTATTGTATAATGCGAACTCTGCATCATTGTTGGGTGTATCGATCAATCTAGATTGGCTAAATAAGAAAAGGCATCTATCTTACAATATTGGAAATACTCTAGAATTACATTATTTCCCAATATTGCGCCAATATGTATATTGGGGATCAATTCTGTATCTTACGCTATAGTAAAAATACTGAAAGTGAATAGCTTTGTCTCTCTCCAACCGTCCCTTTTGAAAAGAGACAAAGCCGGCTCACTTTTAGCACTTTCACATTGTAAGATGCAGAATTGACCCTTTGATATTCAAATATTTAAATCTTCCGCGCCATCGTTCGCTGGGGAGGAACTGCTGTCGCTATCGGGCCGGTCTGTTCTTTGTGCAGCTGAACCTGACTGCACCAGTTCTGGGGCTCGCGCTCGCGAATCTTTTTCTCTAGCGTAAACTCGCGAAGAGCTACAAATTTTATTAACGATCTCAATATTGGCCAATGAAAATGTTCACTTTTTCACGAGTTCCCGTTTGGGGAAAAGATTCACGCTGGAGCCCCTGGATTATCTTTCTCCCCCCGCCCCCCACGTGAGAAGGAAAAAAGATGACCTCTGTCGGAGTTCAGCTATAAAGAACAGACCTGTTGACCGCGGAATTGTGACGCCGAGCCCGTATTAACCCTATCGACTCCGGTTGCTAAATACAGGTGGAGGAATACAGGAGTGTTGGCATTGTCCAGTTTCAATGCGTCCTTTGTGATACCGCGCGCTCGTCATGTCCGCCACGGCTATACATAAATTTATAACTTTCGTAGGGTTTATGTCTATATTACACGCAGCCTATTCCGCGGCGCAACGTAAGTAGTTTTGCCCCTTCGTCACTTTCCTAGGTTAGATCGACACGGAGCCACGAACTCGGTTGTTTTGCTTATGCGTATTGAAAATAAATGGATTTAACGCGCACGACCGAGTCTCCGGCGCGAAGGGCGCAGTGCAGTTGGAGGGTGATAAGAAGCTGGAATTTTATTACTTTGTTTTCGTTTGTTTCAGATCGCTCCTATTTGCGGATCACCGAACAGGAGTTCACTACCTTGCCAATCGACGTGAGTTACGTTTCACGATACCGGGCTGCTTGCCTTTTGTTATATAGGAAAGTTGCTGCCTCCGCGTAAGATGTGTCTAATATCAACTTGAAAATGTTTCCCCGATCGTTGTAGATCCTAATCCAAGGTATAGCCAGTTTATTCGTCGTCATGTACGGCGTAATGTACATCGCCGGCGATTTCAAGGAGATCCGGGCGGTAGTCGACCTGGAAAACAAATCGTGGGAGACGCTGCGGAATTTACCATCCTTTCAAGTGTTTAATCACCGCGGGAGGTCTCTGTCCCCGGAATACATCGCGGAGTAGAACGTACCTTCGTCCCGAATCGCCGACAAAAGTTCTATCGAGAGAATTATTTATACTGTTCGTTAAATCACATTTAGAATCTAGCGGTATCGATTTAATTGACGCGATTAATCATACAATATACCAAAATTGAAGTTCACTCTCGAGAAGGCAAGATTTATATGTGTGTGTGTGTATATAAAGCGGTCGATTACGCGACATATTACATAGATATGAAATCGTAATTATTTATTGTTGCAAAACAATTCGTGGCAGAGTACGATCCTTGTCCTTGTAATATTAATCTAAATCTTGAAACACTGGAAAACATGCGACGAATGGTTTTGTATACACATTTTACACAGTTCCGTGATAGCAGTACGAATAAAAAAAAAGAAAGTCAATTTCACCGCGTTCCATTTATACGTTTTCCTTCATCTATTTTTTTTCTTGCAATATATTTATTTTATAAGAAATATTAATAATGATGTAGTTAAAGGTGCATAGTAGAACACGAGACATCACTTTTTCTGCTTCTTCTTTTCCGCCTCTGCTTCCTTCTCCTTTTCGATTTCCGTTACATATTCGCCTATAGTGTCTGAATCCAACATCTAAAATATTATATATACATTATTGCAAGCTTCTGCTTTAAATTACGGATATCCTCGGTGAAAATTCTGTCAAGATTGAGATCGAGTCTCCGCAGCTGAATATAAATCGCGAATGCACCTGTAATGGCTGCCCGCGTCGCATTACCGCTATCTCCAGATTCTTTTGCCCAGATTGGACTACCTCAAGTAGCGCCCTGATAGTTAATTTTATACAACCCTTTTCCGTCGACACCTCTTCCGGGGTGTAAAACTTCTCCAAGAATTCGTGTACAGTCTTGGCGCTGCGACCTGTCGCGTTTGCCTTTGTGGAAGGGGAAGATTGATATAAGTTTTAGTGAATTACATTTAGTAAAATATCACTCGGTAAAAAGGGCTGTATCCACGAGGCTAGAACTTGGTGTAAATTCTAGTTCCGAGAAACGTGTGGCCAACCAGCTTGCAGGTTTTATGGAATTGCTGTCGGTTGATTGGCTACACGTTTCTCGAAACTAGAACTTGGATCAAGTCCTGGTGTCGTGGACGCAGGCCTTCGACAAAAGACTTTGGGGATTGAACTCATTTGTACCTTCCATTCGTAATATATCCCTGACGGCTCCGTTTGGTAAAGATGTGGGACACCGTCGTAATCGAACCCAGTTAGGAGGCAGGATATTCCGAAAGGTCTACGGCCGTTACTCTGTGTGTATTTCTGTTTTAAGCCTGCAAGCAACAACCGATTTAGTTTGTGTCGGATTCATGATTTGGTGACAGCGGAGCTTGACTCCCAGTAGGTGTGCGAATCGCTTCGAACTCGAATCGAATCGGATCACTGAAAGTTCGATTCAAGCAGTTTTCGTATCGGTCACATTTTTCCTTTAGTAAATGTAATAATTTTTGCAATGTAATTGAAGAAGCGGTCAAGTTTATGGTTTTATTTTGAAATCGTCATGTAACAGCAGAAAAGATCGATTCGAATTCGAATAATTTGACGATTTCCAATCGATCACAATGTGATAAGTTTTGCGATGTAACAATAAAAATAAAAATAAACAAGGTAATTAAAGAAACGTTCAAGTTTATGATTTAATTTTCAAATCAACGTGCAACGTTGTTTGTGTAATAATTTCAACATGAAACGACTCGGTTTGACTCGACCACGTAAAAGCACGATTCGCACATCTCTACTCCCAAGTTTAATCCCGAGCGTCGTGTCTCGCGCACACCTCGGTTCTACGAGAGACCGATTGGAAAACTGAAGCAAGTTGTTAAGCGAGAAGGAATGCGGGGTGACAGTTTGCAATTCATTTTCAGGAACTCGCATTCCAGCAAAATGGAGAACAAGATTCCAGTTTTCCTGTCGAGCAGCAGAAGAGTCCGTAAATTCTAGCCGTACCTGCAATGTACCTCGTAATGTATTCCAAGGTAACGGGATCCTCTACGGTTAACTTGTGACTCTGACACTCGACTTGCGCACGATTGATCAACACCCTTGCGTCAGCGGTCAAACCTATCAAGAAAATAAAAAACAATTGTTCTGTCTGCGCGATGCGAAATCAACGCTTGACTCTACAAGCCAATCGATGTTACCTGCAAAGGCCATGATTACGTGATCGTCCAAGAGACATATCTTGCGCACTGTACGCTCCTCCTGCAGCTTGGCGACAGACTTCTTCTCGACGCCCAGGACTACCACGTCTGCACCGCGTACGCCCACCTGCGGGCCAAAAGTAAACGGCATCAGTTTCGTTAAGAATTTCAGGTGGAACCGTGTAACTTACAAGTCCTTCACCATCAGATATCTAAGATCTCACGGGTGAAATTCGGCCTGGTTTTGAGACATTTAAAACACAATCTTGAATACAGGTCTGATCTGGTATTTTTTTAAATTATCTCAGCACACTCTCAAGACGTAGTTACTGAAAATCATGTCGTTGGCCGGAGCCCTTGAGCTACCTGATATCAGGGGGTCTATTACGGTTCTCGGATTGGGTGAAAATGACGAAAGTGAGCGGCTCTGTCTCTTACTAAAGGGACAGTTAGAAAGAGACAAAGCTACTCACCTTTGTCATTTTCACCCAATTCGAGAACCGTAATAGGTCCCCAGGTCTAAAACGCTCACGGGTCACTCTCTGTCTCGAAGAGTGGAACGCCGAAATGTGACATGACGGGAGCGAGGACATGGGGGTGTAAAGGCTGATCTACAACGTGTCCTTTGCGTCTAGAAACATTCTATTTCCTAGCCAATAAATACGTTTACAAAATTTGGGCAAGTTGATGAATTGTGCAATCGCAAATTGTCGACAAGTTTGTTAAGCTTTTCGATTTGTTTACATAAAATAGAATGTTTCTAGATGCAGAAAGCACATTGTAGATCAGGCTTCATAGTGACATGTCAAGCTACCAAAACTATTGACTTAACCTAACCTATATCAAGGATTCGCAGAGTCATAGCGCAAAGTAGATGAGAGAAAGTTACTCGGGTGCAATTGAAATCTCGCGCGGGACGATAAGTGGACTGGGGATCGTCGAACAGGCGTGGGCAACCGGCGAAATACACGAAAGCGACTGCCCGACTCGAGAAGGGAGGTTAGGTGAGACCGTTCAACGTACCGCCGTCGAGCCCTTCTTGACGGCTTCCTGGGCGTATTCCACCTGGAGCAGATGGCCGTCCGGCGAGAAAACCGTGATCGCTCTGTCGTATCGCGCCGACATCGTCTCGGACGTTGAAAGTATTCACCGTCCTGCAGGAAACACGAAATGACTCCGCCGTTTTCCAAAGCAGTCAGCAGCTCTCGGCGGTTTCTCGTTCCGGCACTCACTCTCTCTCTCTCTCTCTGGACGCGAACATGACAACGCATTTCCCTAGAAACGCAACGAGGACGGACGAATCCCCATGAAGCGACGTCGCGACGATCGCCGGCCTGCCATTGGCTCGACGGGCTATTTTTAATTCGATTTTAAAATCGCCCTAATGCCCGATTTCTTCACATCCAGTTATGTTGCGGTTAAAGTTAACCAGGAGATAAACTACCAGATCCATGCACGTGATTGGCTAATGGCCGATTTTTTCACTTCCCGATAAAATTATCCGGAGGTTAATCTCAAGTTTTATGGCCGATTTTTTCACTTCCCGATAAAATTATCCGGAGGTTAATCTCGAGTGTAATGCCCGATTTCTTCACATCCAGTTATGTTACGGTTAAAGTTAAACGGGAGATAACTACCAGATCCATGCACGTGATTGGCTAATGGCCGATTTCTTCACTTCCCGATAAAATTATCTGGAGGTTAATCTCAAGTTTTGGCCAATCACGTGCATGGATCTGGTAGTTATCTCCCGTTTAACTTTAACCGTAACATAACTGGATATGAAGAAATCGGGCATTAAACTTGAGATTAACCTCCGGATAATTTTATCGGGAAGTGAAAAAATCGGCCATTAGCCAATCACGTGCATGGATCTGGTAGTTTATCTCCTGGTTAACTTTAACCGCAACATAACTGGATGTGAAGAAATCGGGCATAAAACTTGAGATTAACCTCCGGATAATTTTATCGGGAAGTGAAAAAATCGGCCATAAGTACGAACTTTTGAGACAACTGTATAAGTATTTTATCAGCTGAATGTAATTTTAATCGCCCGAGATCGGGGCGAGAGAAACATATACATATTTGTAGCGGCCACGCCGGCATTTTGCTATATGTATGTGCGTCTTCCGACTCTGCCGATAAAGTCTCCACTTTGTACGTGTTCGTGCTACGCCCATTTTTCAGGATTGTGCTGTGATTTTCAAAATTACATTAACGCAAATTATTTGCATGATGTTTACATCAACTTTTTTCATGTAGTCAATGTAAATTTTATAAGTTAGATGTGAGAATGCGTAGCGCAGACATGCACAGAGTTGAAATTTTATCGGCCGAGTCGGAAAATGCGTAATAAAATAGTTGGAAAAGTAAAAATGGGCGCGCAAAACAGTCTCTTCCCTTACGGAAGAAACACTCAAGTTG